ATCAATGCTCAAATCGACTGAAATCAGATGCACCCATTACTAATTAACGATCATTCTAACCTAAAACAACCAAATCCTAATTACCCATATCAAACAATCAAATCTTAAATAAATATTAAAGAAAAAAAAATCGAAACAACTATAACTTACTATTCGAAGACGACGACGGCGGCGGCTTTGGGCGACGTTGGGCGGCGTTGGGCGGCGTTCGGCGGTGTTTGGCGTCGGCGTCCGGCGGCGGCGATGGTTGGAGCGGCGGCGGCGGCGTCGGGCGGCGTGGACGGAGGGAGGTGGACGGAGGGAGGTTTTTTGTGTTTGAATTTTTTTTTTCTTTTTTTTATTTGGTTTTCAAGTAGGTAATTTCAAAGAAAAATTGATGTAATTAGTATTTTGTATGAAAGGGTATTTTTGTACTTTTATTTTTATTTTGGTATTAAAGTAAGAAAAAACTTATAAATATGTACTCAATTGTGGTTTTCAACTAGGTAGTATTCAACTAAGCAAAAATTAGTATTCAAAATAGTTGCCCCCTTAAATTAAGGGTAAATTATGAAAAACCCCTGAACTAAGGCTAAATAACGAAAAACGCCCCCACCTATTCGTAATTACCAAAAACCCCCAGAGGTGTGTTTCCGTCTTACATCAATTTTTTTGTAATGAAAGAATCCGCAGCCAACCATAAATGTGCACTGGGTAAACCTACACTCTCGTATAATAGCTTGCAAACCATACGAGAGACGTAAACCACACTAGGCTAACCATGTGTGACAAGCTCGACCTAGTTACCGTTGGCAAGGGGACTTGAACATGGGTCAATTGACAAATAACTACTTGCTCCAACCGCTAGGCCATCCATTGCGGGATTTCTCACCTATTTAACATAAGGTATAATAGACACTACACATTTTCTGTTAATAACTCGATCAACAGTTAATCAGATAGGGACTTTGGTTATTAAGAATAAATGAAGTGTTTTTCATTATTCAGCCTAAGTTCAGAGGATTTTCATGATTTATCCTTAAATTAAATATTGTTCTTCCACTTTGTACTTTTTTTTATTGACATGGGGAACCGGAGCCATTCGATATCGCCTTCTAGAGTCACTCATCAAACAAAAGATGTAAACTATACTCCTTTCGTTCCCTTTTAATTGTAGTTTTTTGTAGATTTGCACAAGGATTAAAGATTTTATTACATTTGATTTGATTTTAGGGAAATGTATATAAGACTAAGATGTCATTGCCACAAATTAATAAGAGTGAGTGTTGGTGAGATGTAAAAAAAGTAAAATTGATCGTTATGCAATCAATGTTGTATTAAAATTTTAAAGTGACAGATAATATGAAACAAAGATAATTCTAAAAAGTGACGAATATTGCGAAACAGAAAAAGTATTAGCTAAGCGTACTGATGTCTTAAGAAATATTGAAACACAATCTCATCAATATGGATGGCCATGGGTAGTATGGGCCGGATTTTGGACCCGCACCGTCCTGCTAGCAAATCACTCGCCTTGTACCTGTCCTTCCCATAGCCGTTTCCAGCGTAATTTTTCTATACCCGTCCCTATCTCGCTTAAAATCTATTGGTACCCACATCGCCAGATACCCGTAGTTGTTTTATTTTTTATTTTTTATTTTTTATATATTTATAATTTAATTATTGAAAAAATCTCTTAAAATTAGTATTTTTATAATATATATAAAGTTTATAAAATAATAACATTATATAAAAATTTGTAAGCGGTTTTGATACGAGGCCGGTAGGGATGCATATTATTCAAAATTCGTACCGGTCGTATTCGTTACCATTGATAGTTGGGTTTTTTGCAAAAACCACCCCTGTGTAATCTCGAATTGCTGAAAAACCCCTCGTGTTAAAAATATTAGCACAAAACCCCCTATGAAAAATAGTCAAAGTCAAAAAAGACCATACGAGCTCGATGTGTTATACACTCGCGCTTTATGCAACTGGGCCTCGTATTTTGGAACGAGAAAGACCTAAATACCCTTTTAATCAATTTTTGAAATTTATAAATTTACCCAAAATATTTTTCATAAGCTCAAAATGAAGTTTTCAGAATTTTCAATTCAATCCCCACTGATTTCAGAAAAGCCCTCTCTCCAAATTGCATAGAACCAAATTGCAATTTTCATAATTTCACAAAACTTCATCATCTTCTTCCCCTCTCCAGATCTGCTCCTCACCAAATAAAAAAAATAAATAAATAAATAAATAAAACAAACAAAAACCAGCAATTCATCTTCATAACCTTCCCATTTGCAAAAGAAGAAAAAAGGACCAAAGTTGTTTCCTCCATCTAATCTACCAAATTTTATTAGTATTTCAATTTCTAAACAATTAAAATGAAAAATATAATATTAAAAATAAGAAAAAAATCAGAAAAAGAAACAGAATGAAAATTCTGGAAAAACTTGGCCGCTCCATCTCCGACAACACCATCATCGTCTTCCCACTCTGAAATTGAATTCCAAAATACAATAAACCAAAAATTTCAATCTCCCTCTTTAATCAGATCGAGAAAAAGAAAAAAAAAGGGAAAGATTTGAGCTTCTGCAAAACCCAGCAACAACCCAAAAAAAAATTCCACAAAAATCCGTCGAATATCAACGCAGAAGGCAGGTGGTGATGCGGCGGTGGTGCCGCCGTGGTGGTGGTGATGCGGCGGAAGTGCGGCCGATGCGGCGGTGGTGCGGCCGTGGTTGTGGTGATGCCGCGGTGGTGCGGCTGTGGTGCAGCCGTGGTTGTGGTGATGCGGTGGCGGAGGGCTCGATGGAAGAATTGGGTTGCGGGATAAAGACGATGGCCTGGGTGATAATTTTATTTTTCTTTCTGCATTTTATTTATTTATTGGAACATAAATTATTAAAGAATATAAGGGTTAGTTTAGTCATTTCATGTAAGTCAACTGCTAATTTCGAAATAAGGGCCAGTGTGCTTTGTCAAAAATAATATAGGGGGGTCTATGCTAATATTTTTAACATGAGGGAGTTTTTAGGCATTCAAAATTTCACAGGGGGGTCTATGCAATTAGCTCATTGATAGTTAAGTATTTCAGTTGACTATTCATAGCACCATTGCTCGTGAATCTTTTCTCTTGGGCCCAAACCTCCTCTGGGTTTTTGATTTACTCAACTCTTCTATTTTGGGTTATTTCTATGCTACACCCGGTGAAGGTTACACCGGGTGATTTTTTACCGTTGATCTACACACACCAATGTGGGTGTGTGTGTGTTTGTGTGTATATGAATGGTAAAGATCTACCCGGTGTATTTCACCCGGTGTAGCATAGTATAAGCCTCTATTTTGATTTAAAATAGAGGAAAAGAAAGGTGTGTTCTCTAGTGGGTGATTTCACTTCAAAAAAATAAGACGTAACAGTATATTAACTCTGGTATCTTCGACTCATGAAAATATTGAATTTTTTTTTATGATTTTTTGTATCAGTTAATAGTTATAGTGCAGTAAAGGCATTATTGTACTCTGTGGTCTTAATTTAAAAAAAAAAGGAAAAAATATGTTAAAATATGATCTTCAATGAATAGGTATTAATATGTACAAATTTGAGTATCACATTATGGAAAGAAAAAAAAATGAAAAAAGAAACACAATTATATAGGTTTGATTTCACGGTGCACCTTTAAAATGTACTATTTTACCACTTTACACCTCTAAAAATAATTTACGACACTTTACACCCTCAAAACATATTTAATCGATCAAATTGCACCCTAGTTTATTTTTGTACTTCCTGGTCTTAATTTTAAAAAGAAATGGAAAAAATATGTTAAAATATAATAATAGGTATTAATATGTACAAATAGGTTTGCCGTTTGAGTATCACATTATGGAAAGAAAAAAGAAACACAATTATATTGGTTTGATTTCACGGTGCACCCTTAAAATGTACTATTTTGCCATTTTACACTTCTAAAAATAATTTACAACACTTTGCACCCTCAAAACATATTTAATCGATCAAATTGCACCCTAGTTTATTTTACAGTCCATTGAACTAATTTTTGATAGTCGACCCAATCATTGTATCGACAAAAATACTATATTAACGATAAAAAAATAAGTAAAGGATAGAAAATTATATATCCAGAAAATAGGCTAAGCTGTACTTTGAATAATAACACATGTTTCGAGACGGCAGTGCCATGGTGGCATCAAATGATTGGCCTAGTTAGCTACAACTTTTGTCGTTTTCTGGACGGAACAATACTACAAATCACTTAACCACACACACTTTGTATATTATCTTCCATCAAATTCATCCAATTCTCTCTCTCTCCTCACAAAAACCAATGGCCGCCGAATCTCCGCCGTCGCCACCCGTGCGCTTCGGAATAATCGGCTGCGCGAACATAGCGCGGAAGGTGTCGCGGGCGATTCTCCTCTCCCGCAATTCCACCATAGTCGCCGTCGGAAGCCGATCCCTGGAGAAAGCCGCCGCCTTCGCCAGGGACAACGGCTTCCCGGAATCGGCCAGGGCGTACGGATCGTACGACGCCGTTCTGGAAGATCCGGAGGTGGACGCCGTTTACGTGCCGCTGCCGACGAGCCTCCACCTCCGGTGGGCGGTTTTGGCGGCGCGGAGGAAGAAGCACTTGCTGCTGGAGAAGCCGGTGGCGCTGAACGTCGGCGAGCTGGATGAGATTCTGGCTGAGTGTGAATCCAGTGGGGTACAGTACATGGATGCTACCATGTGGATGCACCACCCACGTACGGCTGAGATGAAGGCTTTTCTCTCCGATTCGCAGCGTTTTGGCCAACTGAAAGCGGTATGCTACGATTTACTACAAATGGGAAAAATACAGTTTTGTTTCTCAAGTTTGCACCGATTTCATATTTAGTCCCTTATGTTCGCAAAAAACACATTTGGTCCGTGTTTAAAAAATTTAACATTTTTAGAGATTGAGTTATCAAATACTCATTTGATATTTAAGAATTATTTTAATATTAATTTAAAACTCATCTACTCCAACCATGGTTATCAAATTAATTATCAATTGGAAGTTTATGAGTGGTTTTATTTGTAATTGGCACGTGTCAACTTCTGATTGGATGTTTAAAAGGTTACAATTTTTTATAACTCAATTTCCATCAAGTATTTTTATAACCCAAAAGGTGAATTATCAAAATGGAAACCTCATTTGATAACTCTATTTGGAGTTAAAGATTTCTATTTTTACGTATGTAAATGAAAGTTAAATGTTTGAATACTCTATTTGATAACCCCATTGGAGTTGCTCTTAGTTACTTATGTCAATTTTCCGTTAAAACTAACATAATCAGCCGTGTGCCCATCAAAGACTTAACTGACATACTAACGTTTAATTGACGAAATGACCAAAAGCATTAAATTAGTGAAATGTGAGGGACCAAATGTGTTTTTTGGGAACATAGGGGACCAAATGTGTAATAAGTTAAAAATTGAGGGGTAAAAATTGTAATTTTCCCTAATACAAATATAAATAGACCTAAGTTAAGAGTGTGAAAATAATTAGGTATTTATTGGTGTTTGTTTAATTAGTCCAAAAAACTTTTTCGAACGACAAAAAAAAAAGGGCTTTTAATCCTATAGATTATCTTAACTTATTCAAGAATTATGTATTTAGGAATTGGATCCAACTATATAATTGATTTTATAAATATGCAATAATGCTCTAGTAAGAAGGTGTGGTGTCAATTGACACAAGATCGAATCCATTTGGTATTTATCAATTACAAAGGAAAAATATAGTTTTCATCTCTCAAGTTTGCATTGATTTTACATTTGGTCTCTCAAGTTCACAAAAAACACATTTGGTCCCGCATACTTGAATACTTTAACACTTTTGGTCATTTTCGTCAATTTAGCGTTAGCCCATCATTGAAAGCAGTGATGTGCACACACATGATTCCGTTAGTACTAACGGAAAATTGACGAAAATGACTAAAAATGTTAAATTTTGGAAACATCAGGACCAAATATGTTCTTTTTTAATATGGGGATCAAATGTAAAATTGATGCAAACTTGATGGACACAAATTATAATTTTCCTTCAATTGCACATATATGGTTGGCTTGGTTTTCTTGGAAAAAAAAAAAGAAAGAGAAAAAAAAGGTAGGGAATATTATAGTTTTTATCCCTCAAGTTTGCTTCAATTACACATTAGATCCCCACAAAAAATACATTTGATCTCTCATATTTCAATTATTTAACACTTTAGGAGGTCATTTCGTCAATTTACCATTAGTCCGCCAGTTAAGGCAGTGATAGACACATGTTTGATTCCGTTAGTGCTACTGGAAAATTGACGGAAATGACTAACATTGTTGAATTTTTGAAACACGAGTGACCAAATGTGTTTTCTATAAACATGAGGGACCCAAATGTGAAATCAATTCAAATTCGAGGGGTGAAAACTATATTTTTCCCCAAAAAAGTACTAAGCTGGAAAAGGAATATATCTTTGAATATATAGACATAACTATTTCATATATATATAATTGACCTGAGCTTTTGATTTTGATCTTATATCAGTCCTTCCTTATGCTACATATAATAAGCCAATTAATTAAATTGTGTCACTAATTAATTTCTCATGCTTGATTGAGCAATTTGAACACATCCATTTCTCATAATTTATCGACAGGTACACAGCATTTTCTCGTATAACAGCGGCCCCGATTTTCTCAAAAACGACGTGCGCATAAAGCCGGATCTCGATGCACTAGGCGCCTTAGGCGACACGGGCTGGTACTGTATCCGAGCTATTTTATGGGCAGCCGATTATACCCTCCCCAAAACCGTAACTGCTTTAAGCAGTGCCGAGTTCAACGAAGCAGGCGTAAACCTATCGTGTGGCGCTTCTCTAATTTTCCACGACGGTCAAATCGCGACTTTCTACTGCTCTTTCCTCAGCAATTTGACTATGGAGATTAGTCTCCTCGGAGAAAATGGGTATTTGCGCGTCCACGATTTTGTGATACCGTTTCAAGAAAATGTGGGCGCGTTTTATGCGAGCGCGAACACGAAATTTGCTGAGCTGTCGATTGGGATCGAGCCTGCTCCGATCGAGCACCTTGTGAGGACTGATGTTCCGCAAGAAGCTCTAATGGTGGAGGAGTTTTCGTCTTTAGTGAGAAAGGTAAAAGAAAACGGCTCCGAAGAAATTGAGAAGTTTTGGGCTATTATTAGTCGAAAAACTCAACTTGTTGTCGATGCTGTTAAGGTGTCGATGGAGAAGGGCTTTCAGCCTGTTGAGGTTGTTTATTAGTAGTCACACGGTCTATTCTATGCTACACCGGATGAAATACACTGAGTAGATTTTTACCATTCATATACAGACAAACACACACGCACCCATATTAGTGTGTGTAGATCAACGGTAAAAAATAACTCAGTGTGATCTTCACTGGGTATAGCATAGAAATAATCGGAGTCCCACTACTTAATTTATCGTAATTACATATATATTGAACCGCTATATATAGGAACGTCGTTTACTTCTCGACATGGGAGATGGATAATATTGATTATATATTGAAGATGAATATTTGTTATAAGATGTGAAGTGTTGGTTATATGAGAAATATCAGTAATGTTTGGTTACATTTTCGTCTCACTCTAATTATTTTCCGGAAACAAATTCGTGTTTGTTAAGGTTATTTAAAAAAAAAATTCAAAACAACTTCTAAAGCTTCTCTCTTATTCAGAAATGATATGTTCTGCTACAATAAAAATTGTTTTCATTAAAAAATAAACAAACATCACTTTATTTTTTCAAATTCTTTAAACATGATTTGACTTCTTTAAACATGATTTGACTGCTATAATTTATTTTGTCTCGTTTCAATTTATAAACAACTGGTAAAAGAGAAGCTAATAATTTAGTAAAGAGTACATGCATCATTATATTGTGGACACAACAATACCTATGAAATTTAAATGTTATTTATATCTTTATATTTGAAGAAAACAAATCATATATATTCAACATATGCAACAAAAGAATTTAGAACTACATATATTACAAATAAACAAATTAAATAAATGAAATCTTCTATACACTTTAGTTTAAATAAAAAAAGAATAAGAAAAACTCGAACAATCTTCAACATTTGGAAGTTATATCAACACTTAGGCATATCCAGTGGAGGCGGCAACATCTGCTCGTTCGGTCCTTTCCCGTTTTTAACGATGAACACCATTCCCATTCCCCAGCTCACGTGACGTTCAAAATGACAATGCATGAACCACACTCCTGCAAAATCAATTAATTTAATTTAATTTCCACAAAATATTTAATTTAATTAGTACTTAATTTTCTCACGGGTAATAATTTAATTTAATTTAATTTAATTTGCAATGCACAAAACCTGGATTGTTAGCTCGGAATCTTATCGCAGTCCATCCACTTCTCGGCACCGCGATCGTCTCCATTAGAGGAGGGTCCACAAGATTATACCTCTTCGGATCCTCATTTTTGTCGAAGTTCCCAAACCCGGACCCCACTACGTAAAAACTGTATCCGTGTATGTGCATGGGATGATCGATACCCGACACGGTGTTCGTCCCTTGAAAGACGAGTTCGACCGTCGAATTGTACTCGAGAACTATCGCGTCGGTTCCATTTTCGGGTCTCCAAAGCTCTCGGGGTACGAAATTTTGAGTATAGTTAAAGCTCAAAGGTGGATTAATAGGGAAATTGGTCTCGTAAATCCCACTAATTCCCTTGTAATAAGCTTGAAGAATGTCCGTTTTCGGTAGCTGCATTGTTAAGTTGTTCACACTTGCTAATAGTCTCTCCTGAAACGGCCCGCCGCAGGAGTTATTACCACACGGGCGTAGATTAATCGAAAGGGTGAAGAATAAGGTATTTGTTATGTTTAGGGGTACTTCGATAGGGTATTTTTTATTCGATAAGCTTCTGAGTTTATTCGTGAAGTTGTGGGAAGCGATTGTGTCGTTGAAATCGGGAAATGTAGGGAGAAATGGTGATGATGGTGGTGTGTAGTTGCCCTTGTATTCGATGATGGCGGTTGTCGTTGTGTTCTGGAAGTTTCCGGCGCTGGCGTAAACCCTAGAGGCCATGTAGTAGTGGCTTGGCGGTTGGTTTGCTTCTAGAAGGAAGTCGATTGTTTGTCCGGGGGATATTGTTATGTAGTCGCTCTTCAATGGCTTTGTGTATGCGCCGTCCGATCCGACGATTGTGACGTTGTGGTTTGCGATTTTGAAGAACATTATGTTGTTCATCACCGCGTTGACCATTCGGAGCAAGTAGGTTTTCCCGAATTCCACCGTCACCTTGAATGTATCTTCATATTTACAACAAAATAAGATTAAAAAAAAAGGTGTTAGATGAAATTGAAACAAATTTGAATTATTTTATTCCCTCCGTTTTACTAAATAAGTATCGTTTTGGGTTGGTGATCAGGTAATTTTTAAAAAACTAATAAATATGCATAGATTTTAGTAAAAGTGAAAAAAATAGAATATGACAAAATTTTGAAAATTGTAATTAATGCATCACTGGAATCTAAAGCGACAAATAATATGACGACACAGTTTGAAAAGTTCTCATAAGCGACAATTCATTTGAAAACATAGAGAATACATTGCATGATCTTTTATTAGTACTTGAATTCATCAATACATATAATTAACGAGTTGAAAGCCATGCACGAGTAGTATTAATTAACTTAGAAGATCGATAACGCAACGCGTAAATAGAAGATCGAGCACTAACCTTGTCTTGAACACGAGTATAGATCGCCAGGCTGGCCGTTTATGAGGAAAGCATTGGAAACATTCGGATCCCCTCCACTTGCAAGGAATTCTTCCATAACCTCCTGCACATCACTATTCCACCACTCTCCTGCAATATCGTATTTTGTTTCGATTTTTTTAGCATTTTTTCTCATTTTTACATATCCAAATTTTGGTTCACTAATAAAATCTTGTATTTCGTCTCGTCTGACTATTTTTTTTTTCTTTTGCCGATTTAAAAAAGATCGACATGCAAAATGTATGTATATACAATACCTAGTAGGATGGGGACTTCGGCATGAGGCTTAGGGAAAGGATACGAATTTCTCTTCTCGGGTAAAATAATTAGTGCTCCATAAACGGAAGCTCTCGACCACTCGCTGTGAGCGTGCCACCACAAAGTACCTTCCTCGTCCGAAAGCACTATTCTTTGGCTAAACTTTGTACCCGGCCTAATCGGGCACTGCGTCACGTACTCCGGACCATCCGACCATGGATACCTCGGCATTTTCACTCCGTGCCTGATTTTTTTTTTTAATTAACACGTATACAAAAAATTAAATAATTTTCTTATGCATCATGCATAAAATTTGATATATATAAATGGCTTAATCCCACTTTGCACCCCTGAAATGGAGCATTTTGGCACTTTGCACCCTTGAAAATAATAATAGCACTTTGCACCCTCAAAACACAATAAATCATTCACAATGCACCGTTAATTGAATAAAAAAGGATAATTCATTTTCTATTGGGTTTTTTTTTTCTCGGGGTGCAAAATAACAAGTTAAATTGTTATGTTCTTCAACCTCGAACTTAATTTCGAACGGACAAAGTACGAAAAAGTAAAAAATCACACAGGATAATTGAAAAAAAAATATATTTTCTTAATTACAAAATAAAATCAAATAAACTTTTATCACTAAATTATTCGATTGATATATCTTTTATTGTAATTGGTTGAAATATTAGGTATATATATTTGGAAGAAAATATGATTTTCAGATAACTTGAAAACGAAATAGCTGAAGAAATTTTTTTTCGTAAATTTTTTTTTGTGATAAAAATATATAATTTTTAAATACTACTAAAAATATTATATTACCTTTATTTGCTTTAAAAACTCACGTGGGGTGCATTACGCATCATATATTGTGTTTAAGGGATGTAAAGTGCTATGAATTTATTTTGAGGGTGCTGAGTGACAAAATGGTATATTTTAAGGGTCCAAAGTGGAATTAAGCCTCTATAAATCGGAGAAATTTATATATAATATATACCAGTGAATGGTGATATTATGATCAGCTTGGTTGTAGACATCGACGATAACTAAATCTCCTTTTCTTGCATATATAGTTGGCCCCGGAAATTGTCCGTTTATCGTCAACATTGTCTTGTTCGTACAAAGCCTAGTATGTGAAGACTCTTGCAACTGCAAATATTCGAAAATTTTATATATATATATAATAGTTAATATTTAGAAGCTTCAAAATATTGATGTTATAAATTTAAAAAAATATCAGCGTTATATTTATAAGCTTACCACGAATTTATGGCGACGAACTGCAGCTTGTCCCGGTAATATGCTGCAAAGAAGAATCAAACCTATAAAATGCAACGTGAAAAACTTCATTTTGAGCGTAATGTACTAATTATATTCGGAACGAAATCGATCGAAAAAACCCTCTTTAATTTCTATTTCGGTATTGCTGTGATTTTTTGTTGTTCCTCAGATTGAAGCAAATGGTGTAGTATTTATAGATTTAGGGCCTGGAAAAAAGTAGTATATATATTTATATTATTATTGTTGTGGTTTGAATATGTAATAGTCATAAAGAAAGCCGACGGCGGCTAATTAATCAGTTAAAATGTGCGCATATTGTTTATTACTTCTTTTTCATAATAATTGTTTTTTTTTTTTAAACTAATTTTATTTCATTATCTGTCACTTTAGATTTTAATACTGTAGTTTTTTTTTGTGTTTTAACTTAATTCTTTCTTATTATACGTTAAACGATCAAGGTTATTTTAATTTTTTTAATACATTTTTTTTCTTCTAAAACCAGCACACATTTATTGACATTCTTAATATTTGTATAAAGCTGAAAAATTGTAAATATATATGGCCATTCCTGAGGTAAGGTCAAATTACAAAAAAAATTCCTTTACAACCACATCTTAATTATGAATCTTCTTACACGTTCACTTTTATGGTGTCAAATTCAACAGAATCTTCTAAATTATGTGGAATGTTCTCTGGTTTAATTTGTACTCGTTTTATGCAAAAATGCAGTTTATGATGCACTACAATCTGATATTTACAACCAAGAGACACATATTATGATCATCTTGTTTCAAAATGCATGTGGGGCTCGAACGGGGTAAAAATGTACAAATTGGAGAATATTTCACATAATATAGAATAATATTTCATTAAATTGAGAGCATAAGGCAGTGTAAAAATATTCATAGTTGAGGTGTAGTTGTAATTATCAAAAAATGAGGATTTTTTTCGTAATTTAATCATATCTTAAAAAATGAAAAATAATAATTAATTAAGAATAGAGAGGAAGTATTTTTTGACACGTTAATATCGTGCGTGCATGGGTGGATGAATAAAAGGGTTTGTCCTGTTAGGATAATTGAATATTTAATTGTGGTCCTTTATTCTGGTTTTATTTTTCTAATACCCTGAATTTGACCATGGTTAGACATAGATCAAGAAACTAGTGACCAAATAAAGAAACAAAATATTTCTTTCTGAGTGATTAATAATTTTATCTCACTTCGATCAAGTCAAAGGTGGACAATATATTAAACTTGCATGAATAATATTTTAATTGTTTATTTTAATTTTCTTTAATTAATTTATAAAAAGTTAAAGTCGTTCAGGTGTTGGATTTTGACAAATAAATAAACACATGCATATTCTGAATGAGTAATGCTTTAGAGGTTGAAAAAAGAGAAGGAACCATGCAAGAAGTGATTTATAAGCTCGGTAATAACATTTTTAATTTGTCATTATTAGTCATTGTCTTGAAAATTCTAAAAAGAGGTGTAAACGAGTTGAGTCGGCTCTCAAAACTCAATGAAAACTCAAAGTTAGAGATTAAGAAATTTTAACTCGATTATTATAGATTTTTTAATGGGTCTAGTTTGAGCTCAATTTCTAATTTTTATTATTATTTAATATACCTCGTACTAAGGAATAGACACGACCACGGGTCCGGGTCTACAAAATGGGGAACCAAAACCGATTAGGTTAATACGCGATCCCGAGGGCGGGTCCAGACCTGCCAGGCCCTGTCGGTTATGGGTTGAACAATATTTTTTTATTTAAGAAAAAATAAAGAAAGAAAATGTAAATTGAAAACACTCCAACTTAGCTTTAAGTTTAAAATAAAATAAAAGGGATTATTTCACAAAACTCCCTCATCACAAAAGTCCAATTACAATAAGCCCAAATTTATTTCTTATTTTTAAGATAAATCCAAAATATCTTTTATTAATAAGAATTAATTAATTATCACAATTATACCCTTACCTTATTATAACGTATGTTACGGTTGAATATAAATATACTTAATATCTGTTCCATTAATATTACGTTCTCAATCTCACCCACAAATCTCGCTCCACAAATCTCGCCCTTGAATATAACGTTCATCAATTTTTTTTTCTCTTTAGATTTTATTTTCTTTTTTCTTCTTTTCTATTCACCGTTGCAGATCTCCTTCCGTTCATCTCTTCTTCTCTCCCACCGACGCTGCCCCAACCCCCATCGGACGTTGCCCCAACCGCCGCCTAGCCGCCGCCCCAGCCCCGCCCGGCACCGCCCCAGCACTCGACCAGAACCAGATCCGAGTCCAGATAGATGACCCGTTTCACGCACGGGTCGATAATGTCACCCAGGTAATTCCGAGCGTAGTTCAGCGGGTTCTCCAGAGCGGACCGGATCGAGGAGGAGATTAGGTTTATGACGGTGTCCTCTCGGAAGATGTAGACCTTGAATAGTGAATTTATGTTTTTTTTTTAGTTGTGTTAGTAGTGGATTTACGTATGTTTTTATTGAATTTCGATAACTTTGTTGTTGATTATGTTATTATTAAAGTGGATTACGTTAATTTTTCGTAATATAATTGGTTTTGCATTTTTTTTTCTTGGACATAGTAGTAGTTTACGTTTCAAATAACGAGAAGAAGATGATTACATGGACTATGCTTTAGGGTTCATTGGAGAGAAGATGGTGTCTTTTATAGTGGGTTTATAGCTTATTTTTCGCAGAATTTTGATGTTTCCTTGTTAGAATTCATAGTGGTTTTCGATGTTTATATAATTGTATATATACAGCGGTTTTCATGTTTATATAGCTATTTTATGCAGAGTGGTTTTCATACTCATATAGATGTTTTCATAGAGTGGTTTTCAAAGTTATAGCGGTTTTCGAAGTTTATAGTGGATTACACTTCGATAAATCGGCTGGATGTTTTTTTAAATATTAAAATAATAAAAATTAATCGAATTAAAAAAAAATAATAATAATTAAACAAAATATTTTTATTCAAGAAAAGTGGGAAAAAATAAAATAAAAAATCATTTAAAAAAAACCGAAATTAAGAAAAAAAAACTATTAAAAATGAAAATAAAAATAAAACTATTTTTAAAAAAATCAAAATAAAAAACATGAAATGTAAATAAGAAAAAAATAATTTAAATCTAAAAAACCGAAAAATAAAAAAAATTACAAAATAAAAGAAAACCATTAAAAAGAAAAGAAAAGGAAAAATATAATTTGAAATGGCGTAATATGGGAGATATTAAGGGGATTAGCATATTTAAAAAAAAAAAATTATTTTTCCTTAATAATAAATGGGGGCATTTTGGATAATTCATGTCAATTGGGTTTATGTCAAATATCAATTAATAAAAATGGATTTATCATTAAGTACAAATTGAATGATGGGTGTTTGTCATATAGCCCCAAAATAAAAACTGAATTGAATGTAAATTGGAAAATTGTAGTTTTGGTCCTCTACGTTGGCATACTTAGCAATTTAGTCCTCTAACTTGTCATGTTTTAGTTTTACATGCATTAACTTTGCATATATAGTATTTTTAGTTCTATTCTACATGATTTTTTATTTTATGATGCGACCAAATAAACCTCGACGCATTCTACTTATATGAGCGCTTGAAAATTTGTAAATTCAACATCAAACTTACTATTGGTAGAACTTTTAAGTATGTGCAATTATACATTTATAAACCAAATTAGAGGAGCATTTATAATTTTTAAGTGTCTATATAAATAAATTCCTGCGAGTTTTTTTATGTACATCATTAAATGACAGTTAAAATTCAAAATTTGAGTGAAATAGGACTAAAAAAAATACTAATTTTGCATATTTATTGCATGTAAAATTGAAATACGAGAACTTATAGGACTAAATCTCTAAAGCGACCAACATATAGGACCAACATTACAATTTTCCCAATGTAAATTCATCCGCTATGGAATCAAAGTTCACGTAGTTTTCTTACCTTCACTTACCTTTTTAATTGTTGATGTCGGCGGTTGAAGTTGTATTCCGGCTTTCTGTAAATTAAACGTACTTACCAGCATCATCATCGTCGTCTTCGTTGGTGATGTGGTCATCTTTGTTTTGGTAATCGGTTCACGTCCAATCTCCCAAAAGGATCTGATTTTCAAAATTGTCAGTACCGATCGAGATTGCTTCTTGTTGAATCCAATAGATTGCCGGTTATATTAAAGATGGAATCGATCGCAATAGTGGAGACAGGACAATCGAGAATATCCATGATAAGAGGTACAATTGGAAATGATGAACCATTTGACTTACACCATGCTAATATATCATAAAATGTAGTGTTTACTTGTGGAATCAAAACAAGTGGTTAAATCAAGGTAGTTAAAATCGAGATCTAGATCTTAAAATCGTGCGATTTTAAGATTTTAGACACTAAGAAGGAGTAAGATCGGACTAAAATCGCAAGTACCTCAAAATCGTGTAAAATCGCGTTTCAAATCGTTAAAATCGTTAAAACGCGATTTTAATGCGATTTCGGCGATTTTATTTTTTGTCTCAGTTTGGGCTCAAAAAACTCTATATTTAATTAAAAAAATCCAGCCCAATAGCAAGTAAATTAATAATATTATAGGCCCAATTTTATTTTGCCCTAAAACATTTCAACGGGAAGAAAATCTCTTGAGAGAAAACCAGAGTCTGTGACTATGAGTAACCAACGGAAGCGGCTGACCGTGAGGAAGGCGGCAGCAAAGGAGGCGGTGGTACGGCGGCGCAGCGGCGAAGGAGGCGGCGCTGCTTACTGTTGAGTGTTCATTTTTTTTTTTTCCTTTTTTTTCTTTTTTCTTTCTTCTGCATCTGTTTGTGGGCTGAGTGTTCTTTTTTCGTTTTTTTTCTTCTTTCTTTTTTTTTTTCTTTTTTTTTTCGTTTTTCTTTCTCATGTTCTCTGTTTATGGTGGTGAGTATTTTTTTCTTGTTTCTTTTTTTCTTTCTTCAGTCTATGTGTTTGCAAGGCAGAAGCAGAAGCTGGCTATTTTTGAAATTAAATATCGACAATTTCTCGTCTTTGGAATCAAATAATTACTTACACATTATTATTTGTTTTTCAGATTCTTACTAAAATGTCGGGGGTTGCTTCTAGTTCTTCAGTTGTGTCTAAGAAAAAGAAGAGTAATTCGAAGAAGTCTAGTGGAAGTAGACCCGATATTGGGTGGGAACATGGCATTGACATTGACAATAATGCGAAGAGATCTCAATGCAAATATTGTTCTAAATTTTTTTCCGGAGGTGTCTATCGTTTGAAGAATCATCTTGCTGGTACAAATGAAAATGTTATTGCATGTTTAAGTGTGCTAGATGATGTGAAGACCCGTATGATTGAGAATCTAGCAACTCTTGCCGAAATTAAAGAGAAGAAAAAAAGGAAATTGTACGACACCTCGGGTTCGATGAATGAAGCACACCCGGGATTCATGGATCATGCTTCAAAGGGGAAAGAAAAAGCAAGTTCGTACCAAACAACTATGAATCAACTACTCAAGAAGGATTTGCGAAAAAGCGCATGCAAGCGAATAGCAAAATGGTTTTATACGAGTGGGATCCCTTTCAACACAGTGAAAAATCCCGAGTTCGAGAGAGCATGTGAGGAGATAGCTCGACATGGTCCAGGTTTTAAGGGTCCCTCTTACCACGAGATTAGAGAGACTTTTTTGACTGAAGAAGTCAAGGAAATAGACAATTTCCTTGATGTCAACAAGGACGAATGGAGTAAGATTGGATGCACAATCATGTCGGATGGTTGGACTGACAGAAAGAGAAGATCGATCTATAATTTCTTGGTTAATAGTCCTAAATGAACTGTTTTTTTGGAGTCAATCGATACATCTTCCTTTGCCAAAACAGCTGAAAAGGTGTTTGAGATGTTGGATAAAATTGTGGACAAGGTTGGGGAAGAGAATGTGGTGCAAGTGATCACTGATAATGCTGCCTCATACAAAGCAGCTGGATCGTTGTTGATGGAGAAAAGGAAGAATTTATTTTGGACACCATGTGCAGCCCATTGCATAGACTTGATGTTGGAGGATTTCGAGAAGAAGCTGCAAACTCACCGAGTAACAATAAGGAAAGGTAGAAAGATCACTACATTTATTTACAATAGACCAAATCTCATCTCTTCGATGAAAAACTACACCAAAGGAAGAGATTTGATTCGGCCAGCTGTTACTCGGTTTGCAACTGCATATTTGACTTTGGGTTGCCTTAGTGAACATAAGGGTTCTTTAATTACAATGTTTTCTTCATCAAGCTGGAAGGGAAGCACACATGCTCGTTCGGAGAAAGGCAAGAAAGTTCAAAAGATTGTGTTGGATAATAAATTTTGGAGTAATGTTGTGACATGTCTTAGGGCTGCCTTACCACTAATCAAGGTACTACGGCTGGTGGATTCAGATGAGCAACCTGCTATGCCATTCTTGTACGAGGAGATGGATTGTGCAAAAGAAAAGATCCAAAATAACTTCAACAATGTGAAATCAAGGTAAATTAATAATTTCATACAATTTTAATTAATTTGTCGATTAATTTATTCGTGAAGACTTGAGTTTTCTTATTTATGTTTTTTTATGCAATTTTATAGATATGAGCCTATATGAAAGATCATTGACGAGAGGTGGAATAATCAACTCCATAGGCCATTGCATGCAGCAGCCCACTATTTAAACCCTAGGATTCATTATCCTCCAACTTTCAATGCTAATGATAGGGAGGTTAAAAATGGACTTTTTGATTCAATTGATAAGTTGGTAAAGGATCGGTTTGAAAGGCACACCATCATTACACAACTTGATGCATTCCACCACGCACAAGGCATGTTTTCTAGGGAAGATGCAAGAGCATTGTTGGGGAAAAACATCCAGTTGATTGGTGGAATACTTATGGAGATGATGTTCCCAAACTTCAAAAGTTCGCTATAAAGATACTTAGTCTGACTTGTAGTTCTTCGGGATGTGAGCGTAATTGGAGTGCATTCGAGATGGTAATTTTTTTATTTTATTTTATTATAATTTATAATATTTTTATTAAACTTTCTTAATTTTTATATTTATTTTATGATTTATTTATAGGTCCATACGAAGAAAAGAAACAAATTGAGTCAAAAGAAAATGAATGATTTAGTGTACATCATGTACAATTCAAAGTTGAAAGATAAAAAGTTCTGAAATATTGAGATCGATGTCGAAGAAGTAAATTCGGATGATGAATGGATTACGGAAAGAGGTGGAGGTGTTGAAGATGATGTTGTTGAGATGGATGGAGATGTGGGAGGGGAAGATGACCCTCATGGCTTTTTTGATGATGGTAATCCTCTTGATGAAAGTGATGCTAGTGAGCAAGATGTGGATGAAGATGAAGATGAAGAAAGGGAAAGAAGTATGGAGATGGTTGAGGAAGATGAAAGTGATGATAATGAGAGTGAGAGTGACGATGGACTTGATCCTAATGTCAACCTTGAAGATTTAAGCTAGTAATTTAGATTTTAATTATGTTCAATTTATGTTAGACTATATTTAATTTATGTTAAGACATGTTTTGTTAATGTTTGGATGTTTTATATTTGTTTGGACTTATTTTATTTGTGATGAGATGATTTTTAAGTAGTAAGTACTAACAGTTTATATATATATAAGGGTTGCAATTAATTTTACAAGCCGTGTAAAATCTTACGATTTTACGATCCGATTTTACTGCCCCTCTCCGATTTCAAGTAAAATCCCGGTTTTAACTACCTTGGCTTAAATAATAGATGATGTGGCTCTTGAACGCTTTAAACGATCATACAGTAATCGTTGGGCCGCTAACATATTAGATGTATCCGATACATGTTCAACATTATTATTTGAAATTGTACATGTTCCAAACACCCTAGTATATTCATCCGAATATAGTTACTCTTCTAATTAATTGGATTATATGACATTTGATTAATCATACTGACTAATTAATTATTAAATTTATAAGAAGGTTGGCTTCTTATCTTAGATCTTGTATTAAAATAGTCAAATTCTGGTATTGTACCTGATTTGTCTTCAAAATTATGATTCATGTGCCTACATAAATAAATTCCATTAACTTGAGACAAATACATTATTGTTTAAATATATAATGTGTTCATTATGTAATATAATGTAACTACAAAACATTACATGTGCTTACAAATAATAATTCTACAATAAGACTTCATTAATTCGAGCCTATATTTTTCTAACTAAACCTTATAAAGCCACAATCAAATCCATAAATTTAAACCTATATATATGTATATATATAGTGTGTGTAGTGTGTGTATACATTTTCCCAATAAATTTATAAAAAATAAAAATCTTCAATGGAGATATTTTTCTCACATATATAGATATATATATAAATCAGCATTTTGGGAAATCTGAAGGTGGAGGTAACATTTTAGAATCCTGGGTCTTTCCATTTTTAGTAATGAAAACCATCTCCATTCCCCAACTTATATGTCTCTCTAAATGGCAATGCATCAACCAAACCCCTGCATTTAAATTAAACACACATAATTAATTAACTAATCAAAATTATAATAGTGTTTAAAGAAATAAATTAAATTAATTATACCGGGATTATTGGCTTTAAATCTAATTGCCGACCAGCCGTTTCTCGGAACAGCAATCGTGTTTTGCAACGGGGGATCGACTAGATTATAGTTCTGAGGATCTACATCTTTATCGAAGTTTCCAAATCCCCAACCGACAACGTAGAAGCTCTGTCCATGCAAATGCATGGGATGATCGATTCCCGAGACTGTATTAGTCCCCTGAAAAACAATCTCCACCGTCGAATTATACTCGAGAACCCTAACCTCCGTCCCGTTTTCCGGTACCCAAAGATCGCGCGGGATGATATCCGCCGTGTAGTTGAAAGTCAACGGGGGTCTACTAGGAAAATCGTCTCCGTAGACGCCGCTTATCATATTGTAATAAGCCTCGAGAATCGCAATCCTAGGTTGTTCGAAGGTTATATTGTTGATACTAGCTAAAAGTCGGTCTCCGAACGGACCGGAACACGTGTTGTTAGGGCACGGGCTCACGTTGATTGAGAGAGTGAGGAAAAGTACGGTTGTTGCGTTTAAGGGAACGTCGATCGGATGGTTTTTGTCCGCTAGGCTTCTGAGCCGGCCGGTGAAATTCGCGGACGCTCGTGTGTCATTGAAATCGGGGAATGATGGAATAGTCAACGGGGCGGTGCGGTTGATGTTTCCGCTGTACTCGATTATGGCGGTTGTGGTGGTGTTGTCGAAGGATCCGGCGGCGGCGTAAACCCTAGCGGCCATGTAATAGTTGCGATTAGGGTTTTGGTTGGCTTCCAACAAGAAGTCAATGGTTTGACCGGGAGATATGGCGATGTAATTTGTCGTGAAGGGCTTGGTGTATGCACCGTCCGTTCCGACAATGGTGACGTTGTGGTTGTCAATTCTGACGAACATGATGTTGTTCATCACGGCGTTGACCATTCGGAGAAGGTATGTCTTGCCGTAGTCAACGGTTAGCTTGAATGTGTCTGCATGTATTAGTAGTTGATTAATTGAAGATGGAAAAACAAAAAGAAATATTGTTTATTTTTTAATTCTTCACTCAAAACATATTTCCCAAAAATAAAATAAAAATGCAGGCCCAAAAGCTTACCAAACATAAGCTTAATTAAATTTTAGTTTGTTTTTGTTGTCGTATATAATAAACCACATAAAAATGGTGAGTCATAAATGTATTTTTTCGAAGAGAAATAATAAGAATTCTTGGAATTAGTTTTGTAAATTGAAATCGGATTTGATAATAAAAATCCTATATGTATTCCAATTCCATCAAAATTGAAAATCAAAACTTTCGGAATTCGAAATGAAAAATATGTTTCGCAATAAGAAAATTTTCAGAATCAACGAATTCGAAAATTATGTTCCAACTTCAAACATTATTTCACCCTTTATTTTGTTTTCTATTATAATGAACGAACACGCAGTCAACTATATAGATGATTCAGGTAAATTTTCATTTTCGTGCTATAAATCGAAGAAACCACGTGATTGTCTAACAGTCCACCCTTACATTGTCAAATTACCTACTAAATGATAGGTTTTTTAAGAAAAAATATAATTAAAAAGATAATTGTAATTACCCAAACAAACCTCAAACTGATTGGCAGTAATTTAGCCTATAATAAAATGTGAACGAGGTTGAAAGATATATTTCTTCAATCTGTCTTTTTGAAGATATTTGATTAAATGATTAGTAAATTTCATATATACACACACTATATACGTGGTTGCTTCATGATCAACAAAATTTAATGCATATTAATTAGTCATTTTCTTTAATATAAAAATAATTTCACAATCAATCGTGGCAGTATTGTAACCTTTTTTATTTATTTTATTTGGATTTATGTACAAGAGAATATTTACATGTCCCACAAATAATGTATACTTTTAGTGGTTGACAAAAGCTATTACTTTAATAAACTTTGGAAAAATGTTGACCTTTTATTTGTAGGGGAAATTATATTGAGCACTAAATTGTTATTGACTTTAAGATATTTTTTATATTATATAGAAAATTATTTTCAAAGACACACGCAATGTTTGGTTTCCCTTTTCCTCTAAATTTAATTAATTTTCAAAATAAATTTGTGTTTTTAAAGATTTTGGTAACTATTTTAAAAGTTTCTCTGACCTTCCAATATTAATTGATTGTTAAAGTAAAAACAAATTGGCTGCAACAGTGGAAAAAAATGTATTCACTAAAAAAAACACATATCACTTTAATTTTACTAATTCTTATTCTAAAATAATTTTTTCTGACACATTTAAACATGATTTAACTGCTACAATCTGTATTGTCTCGTCGGAAAAATAATCATTCTAAAATTATTTCCTCAAAACATATTTCTCCAAAATAAAATTGAAATTATTCGAAAATGATTTCGAACATTGCAACAATTATTTGTTGGTCTCTCAAATGCCAGAATGGGAGAATTTATTTTTGAAACATAAGCATTAAATAAGCATATATATAATAATAACTTAATTTAAATAAATAATAATAATAATAAATAATAAAAAAATGGTAAAAGCTAACCTTGAGTTGAGCATGGGTACAAATCACCGGGTTGGCCATTGATGAGAAAGGCATCAGAAATATTAGGGTCCCCTCCACTTTGCACAAATTCATTAAGAACAGCCTGTACATCACTTTTCCACCACTCCCCTACATATTTATTTAACTAATTATTTCATTTTTTTTAATTCAAAAAATAATACTATATAAATATTTATTTATCTCTAGAATAATATGCTTAGCAAATTTATCTTTATATTTTGTGTACGCTATATATTCACGCATGATCACTTTTCGACTTCGTTTAAGTTGTCTCTAATACCATGTTGAATAATCAGTCATCTAATTAAAATTTAAGTTGTTAGTGATAAATCAGTTAATATTTATATATCTTCAACAAATAATAATAATTTTGTTGAACTTATTTGACTCGATTTATTCTACAATTTTCGACATCTTGCAAATTTCACTCGAACGTAGCAATCCAAATGGAACACAAAAGAATTTGAACGTCTAGATACAGTTAAACCTCTATATATTAATAGAGTCGGGACTAGCAAAATCTATTAATTCAGCGAAATATTAAATTATCGAACTAATAATTTAATACATTTTTACCAAGTCGGGACCGAAATAAATTATTATTTAAACGAGGTTATTGATTTATCGAGTATTAATTTATCGATGTTCTACTTAGTAGATTAATACTCTCTCTCCGTTCCAAAATTATCTGGCCCGTTATTTAAATTCCGGCACAAGTATTTTAAAAAAAGTAACAAATATGACGAATTTTCAGGAAAATGCAATTAATAGATCAAAATACTTATTATCTATCTTGTAATAAATTTTCTCTCAATTAATTAGTAGCACGAGGGTCAAAATTAAGAAAAATATATATCATAAATGCATAATTTAGACTCTAAAACAATAGATAATATGAAACAAAAAACAAAATCTTCTAAGAAGAACGACGGTTAATTAAAAACGAAACGAAGGGAGACGTCGCGGCGTACCTAATATAATTGGAATTTGAGCATGAGGCAGTGGGAAAGGATAGCCAGATGTTTTGTTTCTGGGATACACAATAAGTGCACCATGTACGGTGGCCCGAGACCAATCACTATGCGCGTGCCACCACAAAGTCCCAACCTCGTCCGACAACACTATCTTCTGCCTAAACGTACTCCCGGGCCGTATCGGGCACTGGGTTATGTACTCCGGCCCGTCCGACCACGGATATCTCGGCTGTTTCACTCCATGCCTATATATACCCAACCAAAATCAACAAAATCAGCAAGAGAGAGAAAGAGTCTAGAGAGAGAATCTAGAGAGAGAGAGGTTTAATTAATTAATTAATAAATTAATGAATTAATATGATATTACCAATGAATGGTTATGTTTTCGGTTGCATTGTTAGTGACAACAATGGCAATTGTATCCCCTTCAGTGACATATATAGTTGGCCCTGGAAACTGCCCATTTACAGTTAAAATGCTCTTGTTGCTGCACAGCCTATTGTATGGAGTATCAGATACCTGCAATATTATTTTTTTATTCCCATTAATTTAATTTGTTTTTATGCTAATTATTATTACATTAATTGATATATCATGTAATAACCACAAATCCACAATTAGGGCTTAGTATAACTAGACACTAATTATTTAACTCTTGTAAGATGATGCAATTATGCCGAAAACCTTCGTACGATTAATTAATTACCAAATAATCATCATAATTTAAGCAAATCAAATTAAAAAAAAAAGCCAACTACCATATATATATTCTTTAATTAATTAGTTTTGTAACAATTATTGTTAGATTAATAAGTAATAACTCTTAGATGATGCGATTATGTCGAAAACATTCATGCGATTAATTACCAACAATGCAATAATCGTCATAATTTTTCTACTAGTGATAACTAGACAATAAATATCAACTCTTCTAAGATGATGCAATTATGCCGAAAACATTCGTGCGATTGATTATACCAATAATCATCATAATTTAACCAAATCAAATTAAAGCCAAAAAAAAAAAAAAGCCAATTACCACGTATATTCAGTAATTAATTAATTTTGTACTACTTATTAACTCTTTGATGATGCAATTATATATGTCGAAAACATTCGTAATCGTACGAAAAATCGTCATAATTTAACAAAAATCAAAGCAAAAAAAAAAAAAAAAATTACCACAAAGTTATGATGATGTGTCATAGCATGGGAGGGGATCATCACACATAGGAGAATAATCAGCAAAAAGGGCAACATAATTATTGATGTCTTCATAATTAACAAATATGTATGTATGTTTTTATGAATAAATGTCTACTAATGTTGGATATATATATAATATATGCATGTATATATATATAGGAAAACATATATGGGGTGATAATTATTTTGTGTGTATTGGTCATTGTAGGAAAACGACGTAGTATTATTGTATCACGTCTCTTCTATAATCTTTGGTTTGCACAAGTCAATTTTGATTACTATGTTGCTTGATTGAATTTTCAATTTTTCAAAAGCTTGGAAAATTTGACCCATCATAATATAGGTGGAGGATTGATTATTGGTTTGGTTTGCTTCCTAGATTGTGATTGAATTAGAGTGGCACGAAAACGACACAAATTCGTTAGTGAACTAACAAATCGATTTGAACATTCGTTAACGTGCATGCACTGGCTAAGCCAAGATTTTATTGTACTGTTGACTAAAATATCACGGTGGTCGTTACGTGCGTGCAGTGGCTAAGTTATGATTTTATTATATCGTTGACTCAAATATCATGGAGATTAAAGGCAGCGCCATCATTTTTTTTCACTATTTTTAAATAACCCAAATTATATTAAACAAGCTAAGCAAAGTATTTATAGATTTAAATCAAAAATAATAATAATGAAGTTTAAAGTTGTGTATAAAAATAAATATGATTGTATAAAGTTATAAACACTTCTCAAACTACAATAGATTGAGAAGCAATTTCCCCGGGAGGGCCTGGTTTGAGAATGTTACATTTTGCACCGCAAAAATTGCAGGGGTTAGCGTTTTGCACCCTTAAATTGCATATCTCAGCAAAATGCACCCTGCAACTTTTCTTGCGAGATTTTAACCAAAAGATATATATATATATATATATATATATATATATATATATATATATATATCGCGACATTTATTTAAAATTTTCAGTATTTTCAGAAAAAAAAAAGTAAGAGGCTTTAATTTAGGACAAACAAAAGCTTCTTTGTATAAGCAATATATTGAAACAACATAAAATGTAACATACAAACTAGTGTTAGTAACGTACATGTTATTTGGACCATAAATTACAACTTTTTGAATTATTTAAAAAAATAGCATTTTTTAAGCTCATAAATTAATATTTCTTCATTTGTGTTTCATTTATCATATAATTAAATAATAATTTGAAAATAAAAAGTACAAAAAAAAAAAAGCACCACCAAGAAAGACTATATTTAAATGCTAAAACATTTAGATATATTGATATTTTGGTTAAAATGTCACGAGATAGTTGTAGGCTGCATTTTCCTACGAGATATACAATTTGATGGTGCAATTTGTCGATTTTAAAATTCAAGGATGCAAAGCGCCAATTCATGTTATTTTCAGGGTGCAAAACACAATTCACCCTGACGATGATATTAGTTGAATTGCGTATGATAATTACATTAGTTTGTTATAATGTAATACGTGATTATCTTACGTTTGAGATTTATCATTACATATTACTTATAATGAGTAATATGATAATATCATTCATAAGATTGTATAAAAATAGAGGTTGATTTCTTTTAATTTTTTATTTTTTTTGATAATAGAGGTTTATGTTGGGCTCAATATAATCGATATTTTGGTTTAAATTTCGATCGGACTAGTCTTTAATCACATGATATATCCTAATTCCACCACAATAGATTGCTAAAGGTTTTGTAGATTAATGTTACGTTTAGAGAAATACATCGGGTGATTTGAAACCATTATTCTAGGCATAATAACGCACACACTCGTGTGTATGTGTATTTAGTGTGTGATTACATAATAACCCTTCCTTATATTTTTGGCTATATAGCCTAATAATATTCACTTTCTCAAAAGAAAAATAGCCCAATATAAATCATCAGGTGTAACGTCTCATAGACCAATTGCTAAATACTACATGCCAGCTCTTATCCCTGAATGTTTGGCTTTCTTTAAATGCTGAGTCTAAATATTTAAGATTTGGATTTTACCCAACTCGTAGCCCTAATTATTTTTGATAAACAAATACTTGGTACTTGGTAGTCATTATGCCACCAAATTAAAACATTTAATATCTATAAAATTAATTGTCAAAATTGATCTTCGGTTGCTTGTACTCTAATATTTTTTGACTATTTGTATTTATTATTCCATCACGTGGAATTAAAATTGGTAAGGAAATCGGTGCCATCTTTCTTGGTATAGAATTAATTGGTTATTTTTGTGTATTAATTAATTGCCTCCTTAGTAATTGTATCTTTAAAAAATATTTGTATTTCATATTGGACAAAATGCAATTGCTCCCTAAAAAATCTCCATTTTCGCACTTTTCCCCTATGAATTAAAAAAATAGACTCTCTGTTAAGTGTATATTTTTACACTTTATCGTATCTTTTTATTTGAGCTTTTGGTGTGTTTTAACGATAATTGGTGCTTAAAAAGTTGATTTATTGTATTTTAGGTACAAATTGAAGAATTGGAAAAGTATGGGGTCAAAACTGCAATTTTGGAGAAAATATGGGCCAAAAGTGAAAAAAGCAGAATTCTGGAGAATAGACCGCGCGGCCGTGCGGATTTTAGGCATAAATCTCACACGGCCGTCCGGATGGGCGAGTTGGCGCAGTGAAGGAATCTTAATTGTACAAGGAAACTGCCTTCTTCCCCAAGTTTTTCACCCTATATAAGACCAAGCCAAGCACACAATTAGGAATCCATCTTTTTACGCAATTTCAAGAGCAACAAAGCAATAACGAAGACTCCAAGCATAGATTTATCGTCTATGATTTATTTTCCTTGCGTTTTTGATTTAATTATGAGTAGCTAAACTACTTATTTCTAGGATTTTATTTGGAACCCTATGTGGGATTTATGAACCCAATTCTATGATTTTATGCAAGTTTTAATTCCGGATTATTTCTTCTACTTGTTTTATTAAGTGCATGAACTTGATCACCTTATGTGCTTTTATGTTATTGTTAATCGCATGAATCGGAAGATCGGGTTAATAATTAGAACTGTGGTAGAAGAGCCTTTGTGGTATTAACATAGGAATATAGTTAATCTCTTAGGTAGCCATTATTGAGATTTGTGCTTAATGTTGTGTTCTAGAATTAATTGCATAGGAATATAGTAATTGAATCTAGAGTATTAGAATCGTAATACACGCGGAAGCGGGTTATGATTATTTTAGCATCTCAGGTTAATAATCCGGGTTAATTGCTTGCATAATTGAAGGAATTGGGGGAGTAATAACACATAGGGGGAAGAATAAAAATCCTAGGCTTGCTTATCTTGATTAAATCTTCGTTTTTAATTGCTTTCTTGCTTTGTCTTTTTAATTTGCTTCTTTAATTTAGTTTATTATTCATCTTTCGACTGTGTAGGGTGGGCTTGATAATAATTGGTAGAATTTAGCGTCTAGGATTAAGTAATTAAATATTCCCTGTGGGTTCGATATCCGGACTTTTAGTCCACTATATTACTTGTACGATACGTGCACTTGCGTGTAGGTTTTCGCCCAACAAGTTTTTGGCGCCGTTGCCGGGGAATATTTTAATTATTTATTTTATTCTAGCTCTATATTTGAACAATTTTCACGATTCACCCATTTAATTTTTGTTTTATTTTATTTTTGTTTTAGGTACGTTGTATGCGCAGGAGACTCGATCTTGCTAGAGAACCGTTTGATCCCGAAATCGAACGAACTTTTCGAGCCGCTAGGAGACTTCAACGCGAAAATTATAGAATGGAGGACGAAGAACGCATACGTGCAGAGGGTAATTTACTCAATGCCAACGGGAACCAAGTCCAAGACCCACCCCTTCAACTTCCATTACAGCCAGCAGCTAGGCCACGGGCACTTCAAGATTACATAATCCCGACTCATGACGGATTCCGGCCGAGCATCCAATATCCACCCATTGAGGCGCATAATTTTGAGATCAAACAAGGCCTTTTGACGATGCTCCAAAATAACGGGCTCTTTAGTGGGTTGGCAGGTGAAGATCCCCATCTGCACATTGTCAATTTTCTAGATACCTGTAACTCCCACCGTCAAAACGGCGTTTCCCAAGAGGCGCTTCAATTAATTCTCTTCAAGCACTCCCTACAAGGAAGAGCTCGCCAGTGGTTGATGTCCCAAGCCCCCCACTCTATCTCGTCGTGGCCTCAACTCCTCAACCTTTTCATGAAAGTCTATAGCTCACCCGAGAAGGACGAGAGAATCCGGCGAGAAATTCACAATTTTGTCCAAGAGCAAGGCGAGCAATTATACGAGGCATGGGAGAGATTTAAAACTCTTTTGCGGCAATGTCCAACACATGGAGTCGAACAATGGCGGCAAATCCACATCTTCTACCAAGGGATTAACGAGAATGCACGAACGGTCTTAGATGCATCCACCGGGGGAAATTTTATGAGTCAATCGATACCGGATGCTTTCATCATGTTGGATCAAATTGCTCAAAATCGGTTTGCCAAGTCAAGCGAGAGGACGGTTAGTGGAGCCAAGAAAGTTCCCGGAGTGTTGGAGTTAGATGCAATTACGGCCCTTCAAGCTCAAGTGACCCAAATTGCTCAACAAAATCAACTCCTTCTGCAGCACATCAAAGCAAGTCCACCACAACAAGTCAAAGCAATTGAATCTCCATGTTGTGAAATTTGCAGTGGAAATCACTACACGCTCCAATGCCAACAAGATGTGGAGTCGCTCAACTACGTCAACAATGCGCCTCGCCAATTCCAAAATCAAGGGTGGAGATCACAAGGGCAATATGGAGGAAATCAACAAGGCCAAGGATATCAAAGACCTCAAGGTCAATTCCAAAATCAAGCCCCTCCTCAACAAAGCTATCAAGGCAACAATCCACCGGCCCAAAAATCAAACACGGATGAGATATTGGCCCAATTCATGACCGCTACCCAAGCCTCGTTGCGAAATTTGGAGAATCAACTCGCTCAATTAGCTTTGAAGCAAGAGAACCGCCCGCCGGGAGCATTGCCATCGAATACGGAAGATCCTCGAAATCAAAAGTTCGAGACGTGCCAAGCTATCGATGTCAAG